CTAATCTCATTTGAACTTTACAACACTATGAGGTAGGCAAGCCAGGTATTCAGCCCTTTTAGTAAATGGGGAAAAGAAGGTTGGGAAAATTTAACTTCTTAGACAAATGCATTACATTTTTTAAAAAATGTTCTTCACTTTAGCCTTTAAATCATCTTCAAGAAAGTACAATTTAGCTGTAAAAATGTAAAACCAACTGTATCTAATTACATAAGTTCTCCCAGAAAAATAAAAAGCATTGACTTAGGTTTACATACTTAGGAAACAGAAAAATAATGGTCAAAATGTAATAAAATCATATATAAGGAAAATTTATTTTTATTATTCTCTACCATGCTTGAAATGTTTCATGACTTCTGAAAGACATTTTATCGTAAAATAGCAGCCCCCCATCTGAATTTTTAAGTTTCAAGTTGCTATATGATTTGTTCATTCATAATACAAATATCTCCATTAAGTAAAATCTGAAGTTTAAAGGACTTGAGCAAAATATACCATTAATTATGTGCGGACATACTGTCTACAGACATTTATGTCAACAGATTAGTTATACAGCTCTAACTAGTCAATTTAGCAAAGCTTGAGCCCTAAGCTATAAATAACAGCTGCAAAACTGACTCTAATAGCCCCGAGTTCACCAGCTATCTAAAAGGCATAATTGTACAATCCAAGATAGGGCACGCTTTAGGAAATCATTATAGTAGTTAAGAAAATATGTTTTTCCTAAACGAATAGAGCCAAAATGCAGGGAAAATAGCCTACCCAAATACACAGTACGTGAATTGGGAGACTATTTTATCTGTATATGCACATATAACCAAATAGTTCAGAGATACCAAAGAACTTGATTTATATAGCAATACAGAGCAATTTTTAAATATTCACTTAAAATCTCAAGATAATATACTACATTGAGTCTTTAACTTTCCATTATAACATATTCAGCAGTTGCATTTCACACAAGTTTTGAAGTTCAGTAACTTCAAAGCCAAATATTTTTGCCAAGTAAAGTGCTAAAATTAGTGAACACAAGCAGTATACCTTTAAGAGAAGCAATTCTCACACTAATTAGCAATAATCGACTGAAAAGTTACTATATGGCAACTGCTATATTTTAATTATGAAATGTGTTTAAATTTAAAACTATACACTGACTACTGGTTAAAAAAAGGCAGTTCCACAAAGGATTAATACACAAGCTACATTAATTGAAATCCAATTATAATATTTAATACATTTAAAACAATTTACAGTTGATGAATTTACAATTTCATTAAAAACCAAGCTATCAAGCTCTCATGCTGAGTAACATTTAAAAAATTATATTAAAAAAAGTGCATGATTCACTATGTCATTTAATTCGTACATTTTATTGGGTTGTCAGAAATGCCATGACGTATTTTTTTCTGTGTTTTTCGTTCCAAAAATGTGTCATGACTTTTCCGATAACCCAATATTTGGAAGCTAACTTCAAAAAGTATCCCCACACTAAATCATCCATTTCCATCTCCAACAATGTACATTAAAATATTAAATAGTTCAACCTCAGAAGGTACCAACATAAAACCAAAATCATTTTAGTAAGCTGAATATTGAGACTACTGTATAACATTAAGTCAGTAACACTACTAAGCCAACCAAAAGTAGTAACTGTAATTCATATTACTTAAGCAGCCCTACTGGAAAATGTCTTCCAAAAATAGAGCAGTCTTTACTTTTCAAAGTCAACACAATATACATTCTCTCACAAAATAAAGATGCCTGGTGTTTTCTCAAAATGTTTAAGTATGTTGAAGTTTGTCTCCTCACCACCAACCACCCCATAACCACCGTTTGCTGCTTCTCCTGATCACAGGTAATGTTTAAAGGTTTCACCTTGAAGAGGTAATTAGGAGTGTTTTCCAAGAATAAAAAGTTCTGCATGTTCAGCAGCACAAATGTCTCAAACCCAAACTCAGTTAAAATGCTGTGAAACTAAAAAGTGTACTTATCCTATTTTTTAAAAGTAATTTATCCCATGAAAACCTTCAAATTATTTACAATTTTAAAATATGATTGCCCTTATATGTAAGAAAGCCATTGAGTGTTTTGATAAATGTTATCAGTTCTGAAACCAGGCTCTGGAAACTTTATAATTACCAGCTAAAGCTGCCTGAACTCACAAGAGACAAAAGGAAGAGACACAACACTAAACGGGCAGTAACTACAGATCTAGCACAGGAATGCCCATGGATTCAACACAACCAACCAAGGGAAGCTCCAGGCTTCCACCTAAATGATTCCACTAAAACAAAAAAGGAAACTATCACAGCCCTAAGCCTTACCCACTTCTCCACTTTCTCAACAGTCTGGAAAGATTCTTAACAGCCAGGAAAGAAATTTTCAAGAACGACTGAGTGGTTCAATTACAAACTATAGTTAGAGAACTTCAAAACAGGTCAAAATTTTACCAACGAACGTGCCACACCTGACCAACATTAAAAATATATGTAACCAAAATGGCAATATTAAAGTTTCCACTTAATCCAATAACCACAGTTTAGAAAGTTCAGGGTTAATAAGCAAAATAGTTCATTTAGCTTTTCAACCTGAATATTTCCACATGCTCGTTTTAAATTCTGAATATGGCCCCTGAATATTTTCTTGTCAGCAACTTCTACCCCTACCTATAAGTTTAGCACACTTCTGAAATCTCCCATCTCATTCCAATGCCAATCCTGAGAGCTGAGAATTAAGTTAAATGTTATTCTTAATTTTAAACAATGGGAGTAAATGAACTGAACAATTACTCTCCCTTAAATAAGTGGTTCTGTTATAGCATAAGTCCTTCCTCACTTCACTGTTAACTTAGTAAAGTCAAGTTTTCCACCTTAACAGTAGCAAAATGGCTATTCTAAATAAAATCAAGTACTCAACAACAATCTTTTGAGAACTGGTATCACACTGTTTTGAAATTGAAACACACACATGTACTGTATACAATCCGAGTAAAGCAATTTCGAGGAAAACACCCTAACAGAAGAGTTTAAATCTATAAAATAACTTAAAACCATTTTATCAAAGCCACAAACTATTTCCTAAATTGGTCTGCCAAAAGCCTAACACAAAATTTATATATTATGGAAAAAGTTTGAGGATCCAGTGTTTAACTCTAGGCTCTCCTAGTGGAGTGTGTGAATAACAGATTACAAAGCAAAGCAATTTTCTAAGCCAAAATGTACCTGAGCGTCTAAAAGGTTTTACATCATCTTTAACGACATATGAATGATCCAGGATTAGGCAAACGTACATCTTTAAATTCACTTGACAGCTTTTCATACATGTAAAAGTGCCCACTCCAAATAAATCTATAACTTCTCTTTAACATATAACTGAGATTGTCAGAGGCTCATGAAAACATTACTCAGGTTAACAAACTTCAGCTGTTACTTGATGTTAGCACCAAAACAAGTATTAACTAAAGAATAAAGGCAAACGTTTATAAGAAAAAACCCAAGATAAAGGTTAGAAGAATTTTAAAAAGAAACAAATTTGGAAGGACGCTCACCTGCAGTTAGGTGGAGGGTCTAAAGTGATGTCTGCCAGTTCCTTCTGAATCCTGGAGTCAGGGAAGGGAGAAAGAAAACACAAGAAACATTTAGGTGCTGATAGCCTCCCACCTGTAATATATAGGTCTGGCAGATAAACCTAACCTCCCGCCAAGATAACTGGATTCTACTAAGGGAGGAGGAAACTAACACACCAAATGCTTCAGGTGCATTATTTAGCAAAAAACTACCCCCGCCTCCAAACAGCGAGTTGGTTATCATCTATAATATAACGTTTGCGTTGGAATCTGGCCTCGCACACTAAGGCAGTTCTATTTCTTGGTGTTTTCCATTTAGGAAATAATTTAAAAGCTTGTCACTTGCGGACTTTTCTCAATTGTACTAGATTGTGCCAGGGTACATTCACCCTTCCCTACGCCTCCAGTCCCTGGACAGGGAAATCAAAAGCCACCCCGTGGGTGGGAAGGACGCCCCGCAGACTCCGCCCCCCGCCCCTCGGGGCCCGCCCGGGTCACCCCTCGCACCTGGGACGTCCTCACGCCCACCCCCGGCAGGGCGCCCCTCTAGGCCGCCCCGGGCTCTCCGTGACGATGCCAATATGGCCGCTCAAGCCCTAAATGACCTGCCCGCCGTCGCCGGGTGCCGGGGCGGCACAGGCCGCAGGGAGGACCCCTCTGGTTTGCCGCCCGGGCTCCCCACCCCCACCCGCGCGCGCCCGACGGCTTGGGCCGCGCAGACCGACCGCGCGGGTGAAGTTGAGGGCCGGGGGTGGAGAGAGCCGCGCCGGGGCTCCGGGCGACTGCCCAGCACGTCTGCACCGCGCCCCGGAACCTCCAGCCCCGACGCCGCGCGCGGGTCTCCGGCACGAACTCCCCCGTCCGCCCCTCCAGGGAGGCCGGCCTCCAGCAGCCAGCCCGCGGCCCGCACAGGTGCACCCGGCCCCGGCCTGCGTCCCGCACGCTCGCTCGGACTCGTGGCCCACCTTTCCGGACCTGCTTTTTCCAGACATCCTCTAACTTCCTTTGGGTCTGCCCTCTTCCTCCTCCATCCCACACAGAACACAACACCCGGGACTCCCCAGTTCTCCATCTCTGCACCAACCCACGACTCACAAAGAGCTCCATCCCCCACTCCTAGGCCGACGCCACCCGGCCATGCACACCAAGCCCTGCCTGGCCTTTGTCTTCTACTTACCTAGGCACTTAGAGCATCAATGAAGACAAAGTTTGAGGCCTTTAAGTCTCCTGTACCTTCAAAAACAGTGCCTTCTATTTCTATAACCTTTTCTGCTCCTCTCAAATAAAGCCCTAAAGGGCTGTTTTAACTTTTATCTCACGGAGGCAGCTCAGTTAAAAATAAAATAAAACTCCCCCCTACCCCCACCCCCCACCTCCCAAGGCAACCTGAATCACTAGGGATACTTGACGTTTTCCAAAGGTTTTCTGAGGGTAGAAAGGTAGGCTGGCTGGATGCGAAGGGAAATAACTTTTTAGAAGGCACTGTTTTTTCCAGGTATAGGTAAAGAGAATTTAAGGGTGGTGATTGGGAAGGTTTCTTAAACCTTCATATTGGAGAACATTTCCTGTCCCCTTCAAATCTAGTCAACTTTAGAAAAGGGGTTTGCTTACAGTCTCTACTAACATCTTACTCATGTGTGTCCTGCTAAATTCTGCTGCTACTGATAAGCATTTCAGTTCTGAGATGCTCGGACCCCTGCTGTTTGATTTGCTATTGTATTAATATACTAGATTAAAAGTTTGGATCCCTGGTTTCCTGATTCTTTACCTGCATATACAGAGGATGCCAAAAAATGTAGAGACATTTTAAGAAAGGAAAATTATTAAAATTGTAATACTCAATATACACCAATAGCAAACAATGAATACAAGTCACATTTGACTTCTGCAATTACAAGAGGTGCTCAAAGTGGTTACCATCAGCATCCCGACACTTCTGATTACAGCGAACCACTTCTTGAGCAACGTTGACCAAAGTATCTACTTGTATACATTTTTTTTGGCACCGCAGGTATATTAGAATGACTATGTTAAGACCTATGTACATAGGCAAAAATATCCTCCCCTCTGAAGATAGTGTATAAAAATAGACAGTGACTTCATTCTTGCCAACCCAACTTCTACTACAAAATAGTCACGAAAAGGTAGCTGCTTCTTTAATACCTAGAAAGTGTTAATACCGACAGCTTTATCCACTTCATCTCTACAACAAACATTTACACCATTTCCAGAATACTGGCAAAAGATTTGCAAGACTAACTCATACATATGTTCCACAGAGTAATTATTGTCCAGATCACTCTCAATGGGGGCTTTCCTCTACCTGTGGACTAGAAACCACTTTTCCATGTGCAGTTAATTATTGGAATCTATCTGTCAATCTGTCTTTTTAATTCTATCTCCTGATATACACGCTCTTTCCAATTGTACGGGCAACACCTGCCTTCCAAATCAATATATTTCAGTCGCTTCTAAAGGGTCCCACTAACATCAATTGCCCCTTATTCTGTCCTGGATACACTGTCCCTCTCCGTTTTTTACCTTTACTATTAACCTTAGTTCTGCTTTAACAGTAATAGCCACTGTTTCAGCAAGATATCCAGGGAACTAAAACTGATGTTAACTTTATAGGTAAAATTACTATTTGTAGCTTCCCACCTTTTATCTTTCCCAGGCATTTCCAAATAAGTTTTTAACTTCCTTGGCATAAACAGACAAATTGTGTCTAGTGAAAAATCCTCCTCTACAATTTGCTGACACAAACCAGACTATTTTCTGCCTGCAAACTGTGTCTTTACCCCCAAATATATACATATACACTAAGGCTATCCAGCAAAAGATAAAAACACTAATGACCTAAAGCAAATATCCTCAGATCAGGCCAAAAGCTGCCCCAGTGTGGCTGAAGGAGCCCAGTCCCTGGGAGAGAGGTGATGTGTGTGGATGGCGGGGGTCGGGGGGATATTAAGAAAGGCCCCATCCAAAGTAGGCAGGGTGGTAGATGGCAGGTTCCGAAAGAATCAGGCCAGGGCTAACCATTGAGGGCCGGCTAGGACTCCAGGGAAGCTGAGATGCAATCAAACCAACCCTCTGAAAATGAGAATAATCTTGCCAAGGCATCTTGCCACTTAATAGTCTAGACCTCTACACTATTTAAAATAAGCTAAAGTCACTCCTTCATCTGCCCATGGCTAAATCACCAAAGCACTTTCCCAACTTTCCCATTTTCAAGTCAGGAAAAATGACAGAACAAACTTTCAAATTCCAAGTTCCAGGTTTACTACTCAGTGGAAAGATCTAAAGCCTCGTGTTCCATTTTATTTTACATTCTTTTAAGAAAGATATCCCTATCTAGCCCATCATTTGGATTCCTTACTATCTTTCTGGTTTGCCACTTTCAAGTTTAACGCCTGTCCACCTGAGAGCAGAAGAATTTATGAAAGGTATGGGGGTTCCCTGGAATCTGCTATAGATTCTTTTAAGGGTCATGGGGATCAGAGGATATTACTGAAGGATGATGGAGGTGAAAAGTAGCTTCTTCCACAGACATAAGAGGAAAAGGATAAAGAAAAAGCACCATCACTTGAATGCAACTTAAAAAAAAAATTTACAGCACAAGAGAAAATAGCATGAAAAAATTTTAGTCTCCCTAAAATTTGGTAAATTGAATTTCTTAAACAGAACAAAACAGAATTACCATTTTACATCATGTATTGATTTAATTCATTTGCCTCAATTCTCCAAATCAGAAAAACCTATTTAAATTCCATCCAAAAACTTCTGTCTCTACCTATTAAATTTTTTACACCGCTAATATGAGTTATTATTCCTTATGCAATTTGTGGAAGAAAGCTCTATTCAAAAAAAAAAATCATATGTGCAACAGGTGAGGAGGACATAAGATGGTAAGAGAATTCGTTTTTGATAAGAGTTGTCTGGGCAGGTATTAGTAATTAAGTGCGATGACAGCCTTGGGGAGGGTCACACATTAGTGATTAATAGGACAAGTAATTTGAAATCAGATTGGGGGATAAGTAATAGAAGTAATGAGGAGTCTTACAAACTTCGACAAGAAATGAAAGAAGCAAGGCACAACAGTTGCAGGTGGACAATGATTGAAAGAAAAAAAAAAAAACCCAAAGAAGCAATCGAGAGAAAATAATTAGGGTTTCTAATGCCCTTCTTTCAGTTTTAAGAACACAAATCATGAGGAACATTTAAGCTACCCTCCTCATTGGGAGGCAGACCAAATGCAGCAAGAGGCAGTTCGGGAAATAGGAAGCCTGCGGGGGGTAAAAAAAAGTACGGTACCTCTTGGCGCTGGTGGAGAGGAGTTTGGAGTTTTTGCTCATGCTGACTTTACTCTCCTTCTTCTTGGGGGTGTTTGTTTCTTTCTCGGTTTGCTGGTTGGAGGACGAAGATGAGGAGGAGCTGGTGCTGGCCCTCGAATCGTCATCCGACATAGCGAACCCCCCACCCCACCCCGCAAACAGCCCCTGCAGGGAGAGGGAAACAAAACAAACACAACCCTGCAGCCACTGTAAATAAGGAACTCGGGTGCTGTCAAGAGGGCTCGGGTCAGGGGTGCACTCGGCCGCCCACAGCCCTCCACTCGCTTTTCAAAGTCTTCAGGCCCATTAAAGCTTGTGCAAATTGGACGCGGCTTGTTTGTTTATTTTTGGCCCCAAGTGGGGGACGCGAAGGGGAAACCGTCAAAAGCAAGGCAGGCGGCCCCTCCCTCGCCCCCCGGGGCTCCCCTCGGGGCTGGGAGGAGAGCAGCCAGGCGGGCTGAGAAGGGCAGGGCGGGGGCGCGGGAGCCAATGCGGGGCACGGAGGGAGGGTCCCGGCGGGCGGCGGGCTTCGGGGGGTGTTTTTGTCGGCTTTCCGAGGGTCGCGGGGGCCGGGGGGCCAGGGCGACACTGCAGGGACCGGGAGCAGAGTTTGGCGAGGTCGGGAAGAGAGGAGGCGAAGAGGAGTCAGAGAGGAAGCCGAAACGGGGGGACGGAGGCGGGGAGAGGGTGCGCGTGTGGGGGAAGGGAAAGGCCGGCGGGGGGGCAGGGGCGACCAGGCCCGAGGGCCCCCCGCGCCGCGCCCCGACGCCTCTCCCCGCGGGCCTGTCCCTTGGCCGCCCGACTCGGGGCTGCGCGGCCGCGGCGGGGGTCCTGAGCACACGCCCGATTGCCACCCCTGGTGGGGGTATGAGGGGGGGGTCGGCCTCCTCATTGAAGAAATAACAATGAGCCAGTCGGCCCCTGAGGGGTAAATCCCCGTGGGCCCCCACCCCAGGGGCAAACGGGGCTCCCCCAACTCCCCCTCCCCCGCTCCCGGCCCCCAGGGCGGCCAGTGGGGGGCTCCCGGGGCAGCGCTGACAGTTCGAGGCACGCTGGCCCCCCCCGCCCCCGAAGCGGGCGGCCCCCGTACCCCACGCGGCCTGGGGTCTCTGCCCATCCCCCGCGGGCGGGCCCCAAACCCCTGGGGCTCCCGGGTTCCTCTCAGCACTCCCCAGTCCGGTGCCGGGCGGCCCGGGCGGCGCGGGTCGAGGGGAGGCGGCGAGGGGTGTCCCCGAGGCCCGGCGACGCGGCCGGGGGGCGGCGAGCGGCGGGGGGATCCCCGTACCTCTCTTTGTGTCTGGCTCCTCCGTGCCGCCGCGGAGGCTGCTGCTGCGGCTGCGGCTGGGCCTGGCCACTCGTGTCTCTCTCTCGCTGGGAGAGAAGCGGAAGTGCAGCAACAGCAACTATTAAACAGGCAATGGCTTCCCCCAGCCACACACGCTCGCACACACTCCTCCTCCTCCTCCCCCTCCTCGCCCTCACCCCTCCCCCACCCAGCCCGGTCCCACCCACCGGCGCTCCCCTCCCCCTGCACACCTCGGTTGGCGGGGGGGGCGAGGAGGACACGGGACCCCGGGAAACCTTGCCCCCTCCTCACCCACACCTCCACCCGGCGCCTCCTCGGGACGCCAGGGAAGGGGGCAAGGGGTGTGAATTTCCTCTCAATTGGTTTGGGGACCTGGATCCTGGGCAGGAGAGGGGAAGCAGTTCCGAGATGGGGGGCGCGGGGAGCGATTGGAACTGTATGGAAGAGAGGGGTCACGAGAGGAAGTTCTTCCCAATATGGGCTTTTGGAAAGAGGGGGGCGGGTGGCAAATGGGTGAAAAAGATGGTAACCTCTTGGCAAGGAGTTTGGACTGGAGAATGCAGCGGGAACTCTTCGTAAAAAGTGATCAGCGTAGGGGGGAAAAAGAAATCCCACAGCAGCGTTTTCCTTTGGGCTTCTCAAGCACTTTACCTGCTAGGTGCAGAGGTCGGTTGGTTTAGGCACGCCTGGGAGAAAACCCCAAATGGAGGTTTCTGCTCAGGCACGTGCAATTTTACAATTTCAGATTCTTCCAGTCACTTTCTGTAGAAAGTGGTGTTTTATAAAAGTGATACAAAAGGTTTCATGGCAGGTAAAACCAACGTGTAACAGGCTTACAAATGTGAGAAATCACTGGGAATAGACCCTATAGTACTGAATTAGACTGGATTTAGAATGTTGGGTGTCAGAGTTTAGACAGAAAATTTGACGTTTAGAAAGTGGATTAAAAGTTTTTGAGGATTCCTGTACATTCTTCAGCTATGATATAAATGCTCTTCAAATAATCATTTTTAAAATAATCACTCTGTAATTCTGAATTGTTCCTTATTTCGTATTTTTTACCAAGATTAATTTTTTAAGATTAAGCTATAAAAAAGAGATTAAGCCATCAAATTACGATTTAGTTTCTTACTTATTTGTCACTGTAGTTGAAGGAAACTGAAGAGATATGTGCAATGCCACACATACAAGTTCTGGTACACGAAGGAGACCGCCCAGTCAGATTTCAATGGGCCACTATAAATTGTCTCATTCGAATTGCTATCCTTTTCCATGGCGACAGTGGCTTCAGTTACCTCAGGACAACACAAGATATAAAGCCCATGGCATATCCACTAACCAAGAAAAAAAGCCTCCTTACCACCCCCCTAAACCTCTCTTAGCCCTCAACATGAAACTCCCAACTTTATCAAGACTCATAAAGTAATTGTGCACGCTGCTTGCTCAATCCTTACCAGGAAACCTATATACCAGGAATTGTCATAGAATCAAGGAGTCCAATAGCTGGAAAAATCCAATAGGTCATCATTTCAGCCTCCAGCTTCCACTGCGGACAGAGCTATCCCTCAGTCACTCAAAAACATAGAAATTGTGAAAAGATCCCTAAACATAAGTGTTTGGTTTTAGGAGTCCTGGTAGAGCATATAAAAATAATGACATTCCCTGTTGCATGTTATTTGAAAACAAAATCTCCTTAAAACAAGGTTGTATACTTTTTGTACTTCTGATAAAAAAGATAAATTCAAGAGAAAATGATAAGCAAGTATGAAATAAACTCAGTTGGGATGAAGAAAATAATCTAAAGACAGTTGTTAAAACTGAGACTTCCTCTTCCCACAACAATTTGGGTTTCTGATACTTAAAAATATGTGTCTACACTATGAGTGCAACCAGTAAAAACAATCGTGCATGTATAAAGATGAGAGTTGGCAGAGAACACAGGAAAGTCAAGTTTGATTAGCTGATGTGACTAGGATGGGGTGAATTTTTTTCTTTTATTTTGGTTTACCTAAATTGTATACTTGGATACCAACTATAATATTTTTTTAAAAGCTGCATATGGTATTTTGTGTTTCATTGTTGATGCTTGGACTAGATTGGTCCCTGGGGAAATAAATCATGTAGTGGACGGGCTCCTCCTCTATAGAGAAGTGCTTTTCCAACCACCAGTCTGAAAGGACACTAGCCCTCTTTTGTATACTAGTCTTTCTTCTCTCTCACCCTGGTTAGTGTTTTATGGTTTAGGGATGACCTATTGAGGGGGAATAAAAACCTTAAAATGTTTAGAAAAGAATCCACTGCTTTCAAAGACTAATCTTTATGTTAAATTAATTTAAATACACAGTTGTCTCAGTCATAAACAACTAAAAATTCATTTTCAACCTTCTAGCTCTTCTACTTATGAACTACAAGGCCTAAGGAGCGAAATTGATCTCTCTGAGTCTCAGTTGTCTCATCTATAAAGGGCAAGAATACCTGTGTTGTACGGACTGGCAGAGTTGTTAGAAGGATCAAGTGTGTATCTATCACGAATATGGTTTATTAACTGTTATGCAAAGTAAATTATTAATAATCCCACCCTGATCCTACTTCTCAGGAATATTGTTAGGACACGGGGGTCCTTATGGCTTAGAATGAATGACAAGTATAAGAGAAAGACAGAGTCAAGGAATCAATCACAGGATTTTATTTACTGGAAAGGGCCTAAGATATCTTTGAGTTCAAACTCCTCATGTTACAGATGAAGAAATTAAGGCAAAGAAAGCCGGTATGTCTTGTCCAAGGTCATGCAGTAAATTGGTGGCAAAATTGTGGCAATGACCCATGCTGCCCACAGATAATTTTGTCAGTTCTAGCAATATTGGGGTGGGTAGGGTGGGTGGCATGGAGCCTCAATTACCTTAAAAAAAAAATATATATATATATATATATATATATATAAAATATTTAAAAACTCTAATATTTTTCAAAAACATTAACAATCAAGACAGTTGGGAAAGTGGAAAAATGGAAGCAAGTTCAAGGAATCATTGATTTTATACCATTTACTTGAACCAATTAGTGAACCTTATTGAAGTTTCCTACTCTCCATTCTGAGAATCATCATGTATTTATTTCACATTTAAGGATATATTTTAAATATGTAATACATTCCCATGTTGTAATCTAAAGAATCCAAAGGGTTACACCATGAAAATATCCCTCTGTCTCTCCCCCAGCTCTGTGGTAGTCTATTCATGCGGCAGCAAATGCATACAGATAACATGGGATACTTTGATGGGAGTGCTCAATTTACATTTAAAAGATGCATCTGGTCACAGAAGCCCAAGTGGTGCAACACTGTGATAGTCCTGGGCTTTGAGAAAGTGAGCTTCAGTTTTTACTAATACCTAGTCCTGATTCTCAGAATGATCCAACTCTCTTCTTCAAGCCTTTAGAGTATCAAGCACTTATAAGTAGAAGCACTTGAAAATCAAGACGCTGACTGATTGATCCCTGGGAGGTGAAATGATACAGTTGACTCAAAAGAAAGAGACCCGGTCTCACGTTTGAGCACTCCTATTTTTGGCTTGTTGCTTACACTGTACTTCAAATATTTCATAAAGGTGGCCATTCTCTTTGGCCAATTTCACACCTAAAAGAATTGTCAGGCAGATTAACATTTGTTAATATGGTGGGGGGTTTTTGTTTTTTAACTTACTTTATGACTGGATAGAAAGGATTTCCTTTTTCTGTCAAAAGAAAAAACACTCTTATGCTCGGAATTTAAAAAGAATTTCTATAAAGCCTTTCTGAAAAGATGGACTCACTGAGGATTTCAGTCCACTTGTTTTATTTTATAATGCTTCTTTGCCTGAAAAGTCCATTCCTTATACAGAAAGATAAGGAGGTTTCCCAAAGAAGGGTCCATTCCATGAAGTCTATTGAGGTCTGGGGCTTTTATCTCCAATTCAGGTCATTTTTCCATAGGATTTTAAAACAAACAAACAAACAAACAAAAACAAATAAAAACACTGATCCCTTTAGAGGACCCTAAGCATTGTCAGACTTTATTGGTCCTGAATGTTGCTATCACAGGAAGCTAGGACAGAGCTAAATTATTTTTTTCTACCACATGGAGGCATTGAACAACCATGTGATTTTCAAAATTTAAAAGACTTGATAAGAGTCTAATGCTTTCTCAGGCATGGTAAAAAAGTTTGTTTGATGTCGACAAATGGATAAAGCTTAGTATGGAAAGCGTGCTTCTCAATTTATAATTTACCATCTCCTCTGTAGGACCTATTCTCTAAACAAACTAGCTTTCTTCGACCGTCTATACACTGATAACACAGGGACAGACTATATTGGAATATACTGGATTGCAGTGTGAGCAGTTTGGTTTATTAGTCTTTGAAAAACCTTCCTTGAGCTTTACAGTTTTTCAGTTTACTGAAATTTGGAGGAATGAAATAGTAGGGAACAATTACTTTAATTCCACACTCTTATCAATTGTGACACTTAAAAAAACCCCACAAACATTAACTTCCCCACAGGTCCATGATATGGCAAATCTATAGTAAGGGATCCAGTTTTGAATCCAAAATTTATCTGAAAAATTGCAAATCCCAGAGGCAATCGGCAGCAAAGATACTAATCTGGACTTGTGAGCCTACAAGACGAGCTCTGTCTTTTGCAGCAGACTGTACTCATGTCTTAGCCCCAAATCAATTAATCAACAAATATTTATTAATTGCCCTGTGTGTGCTAAGCACAGTGCTAGGTGCTGTGGCAGATGTAAAGAAGTCTAAGCGGTACTCTTTGACCTCCAGCAAGGGCTAGAGGACAAGTAGGACTTGGGAGGATGGAGAGGCATTCCCAGGTACTGAAATGACATTTAAAAAGATATGGGGAAATAACGATGTATAGTGACAGGGAGGTACTAGACTAATCAGAAGGATCACTTCATAAATTATATAAATGTCTACACCACTACTCTATACACCTGAAACTACTATAAAATAATATTGAATGTTAAATATAACTGAAACATAAAAAAAATTTTTAAGAAAATTTTAGGTAGTTTTTAAATTCACTTTTAAAAAAGAAAAATAAATTTTAAAAGAGATATAGGGAAACATCAGACAATATATTTTATTACTAAAA